TAACCATCAACACACTAACCCTCTACACACCAACACATCTACACACTAACCCTCTACACACCAACACATCTACACACTAACCCTCAACACACCAACCCTCTACACACCAATGCATCTACACACTAACCCTCAACACACCAACCCTCTACACACCAATGCATCTACACACTAACCATCAACACACTAACCCTCTACACATCTACACACTAACCCTCAACACACCAATACATCTACACACTAACCCTCAACACATCTACACACTAACCATCTACACACTAACCCTCAACACATCTACACACTAACCATCAACACACCAACTCTCTACACACTAACCATCAACACACTAACCATCTACACACTAACCCTCAACACATCTACACACTAACCATCTCTACACACTAACCATCAACACACTAACCATCTACACACTAACCCTCAACACATCTACACACTAACCATCTACACACTAACCCTCAACACATCTACACACTAACCATCTACACACTAACCCTCAACACATCTACACACTAACCATCTACACACCTAAACCATCTACACACTAACCCTCAACACAATCCTACACACTAACCATCTACACACTCTAACACTAACCATCTACAACACTAACCTCAACACACACACACTAACCATCTACACACTAACCCTCAACACATCTACACACTAACCATCTACACACTAACCCTCAACACATTTACAACAACTAACCTCATCTACCCACTAACCCTCCACACACCAATGCATCTACACACTAAAAAGTGTGATTTTGATGTGATTTATTTATATTTTGCACGTCTACTTATGTTTAAAGCTGGTATTTGTGCACAGTGTCAGATACACATCATATTAATTAATATTATTAGGATTATAACATTTTAGGATTAACTTCCAGTAATGGCTGCTTAGGATTGATAAGCGTAACGTCTAACAATTCAACATTTATTTATAATAGATGTTGAATTTAGTTTTTATCTAACCAAATAGTCTGCTTTAATCAGTTTGTATTTGTGTCTAGCCCTTATTCATTATAAATAAGTAGTAGGAATATCTTTTGATTACTTTTTTGGTTTTTAATTAGGGTGTAATGTTATAAAATATGACGACAGACACAGAAAGCTTGATTTAAAAACCTCAATAAATACTCGTTATTTATTTAAAAGGATACATTTCAATAATACGTCATACGGTTGCTGCTTCGTCGATGAACGGACTGATTATTCTCTGCTTTAATTGATTAATCTAGTCTTCAAAAATGCATGAAAATGTGCTAAAAATACAAGAAAACAACGACAGACATTCGAAGGAAAACCTCAATATTCCCCCTGACCAGACTTCACTAATTTCTCTCCCATTTTAATGTGAAAACCAACAAATTAGCCTCTGTTAGAGACGGAGAGAGACAGATGGACAGATAGACGGTAATAAAGTTACAGACAGAGTTTGTGAAGTGGACCTCGGGGAGAGTTTTGTGGAGGAGGGAGAGATCTGGACCTCTGGGGGAGGGGTTATTGATGAAGTGATTATTGGAAGCAGCAGGCCATCACAACTCGTTTAAAGGGGGAGTCGAATCACTGAGGATCGATCAGAAGAACTCGTTTAACGTCACCTGAACGCATCATATTAATGGGGATAATCTGTGTTGATGTTTGGGCTCAAAACTCGTCAATGACCGCCGAAGAATTAGACTTTTTATAAGGAAATGTAAAAAATAAATAAAACCCTCTCTCTTTTCCTCCGTACCCAAATCTCTAAAAACGGGGGAACAACGGAGCTGATCCAGATTTGCGTCCGATATGACGTAATATCTGAAATGTGGACCCACGGCCCTATCAGAAACGTTGCTATCAGAAACAATGCCCGACTGTTTTGGACGTAATATGGTCGGTGTTCACATTAGCATCGCTAACACTCAGAGCTAACCTGTACTGGAGAGCATGTGTGTGAAGAAGCAGGAAATAAAAAGGAACTCACCTTGTGGTATAACCGGCAAGAGAGAAAGCCTTTGAGCTCCATACTGTTTCAGAAACAATCCTTGATAATCCATGATATGGCGTTTCATCACGGCAGCATTTAGTTTAGACGGTAGCTGCCGGGTCCCGCATGAGCCGTCATAAGCTCCGCCCCCTCTTATTTTATAGAGTGGCGAAGTCCCTCCCCTTCCGGTTGAGCCCCATGGGACCTTATTTCGGAAAAGTTATGCATTGAAGTCAATGGAGAGAGAAAGATTATCTTTCGATCCCGTTTGAATTGTGCCACGAATTACACATATGATGTTTGTCAATTTAAAAGATAATTTTGCAAGTCAAAAAAATTAAAATGTGTCGTAAAACTGTGAAGTAACACATTTGTTTGTGTGAAACGCTCAATGAACTACATCTCTGGTCAACAACACACGTCACCAAGATGGCCGTCACTACTGTCTTGTCAACAAACGATTGACTACCCTCACTATCACCACAATGAAACACGTCCTGAAGAATGTCATGCAAAGCTGCCTGCCTGCCTTCCTTTGATTCTCTCTGAACTGCCTGGTCTTTTTAATGTTTAATGTCAACCATTTGTGCAGATAGCATGAAGTAGAGAAGATCGCCGATGCTAACGTTAGCGTTAGCATTTCTCCCCCGGGCTTAAATTGTGTATTATAGAATGATCACACCGGTGACAGTACTCTTCAAAGGGTTCACGAAATATGACTACTACTCTTACTGTTTAACATTTTGGGTTACTTAATGTTACTTCATGTTAAGGCTAATAAAAATGACAAGGCTGTAATGCTAACTAACGTGCTAGCTAGGTAGCTAACTTGATCAAGCCACTCCTGGTCGTTTCATCAGACGGGAAGCGAAAGAACGAGCAAGACCCATTGCTGGTATGATAACAACCTGGTACTAAGCACACAGGCATCTTGTTAAAGTTATCTTATCTTAGCCAGCGCCATATAGATAGATTATATCTATATGGCGCTGATCTTAGGTATCTGAATGGTGGAGGTAAACAATTGTGACATCACTTACTCAGTGATGTAAGTGACTCTGGGATCCCACTCTGGGATTTGTAGTCTTTCTAGTTACGTATAGTCTTATATTTCAACAGTTTTACGACAAACTGTGACTTTTTTGACATGGAAATTATTTTTTAAGATTGACAAACATCATATGTGTAATTCATGGCACAATTCAAACGGGATCGAAAGATAAGTTTTCTCTCCCCATTGACTTCAATGCATAACTTTTCCGGAATAAGGTCCCATTACCCGGAAGTAAGTGGGAGGGACTTCGCCACTCTATTCAGTTAAAAAAAAAAAAAAGCTTTAGTTTTTTATATTTTTGTATATATCCGAGACCTATGCTATTGCCTAAAAATAGCATGATAGGTGACCTTTAAGTTCATTTTAGGTGGTTTGCTTTATCCAAATCAAGGTCATTATTATAAAGACCCTTTTTTGTGACATTACCCTTTTTAATTTAACATCTACTTTATAGTTTCGCACTTCTTTAGTCACCTGAACGCATCATTTTAATGACTATAATACGAGTTGATGTTTGAGCTCTTAAATCATCAATAACCGTCTAAAAAAAACACTTTTTATAATGAAATTTGGGGCTTTTCACTTATTTTCAGCAACATGTTTTGGCCATTCTTTTGATTTTAGTCTTTAGATCAAACATTTATTGGAGTTTTTAAACATGTATACACACTTCCTGTCTAATAAACTATCATTTGCTGCTTTTTTCTGAGGTTACTTTTTTGGTGGTTTTCTCTATCCCGTGCTGTACGGATTATAAAAGACCCTTTCTTGTGACATTAGCCTTTTAATTTAACATTTCACGTAATATTTAGTCAGTTTCATCGTTCTTTAGTCACCTGCACGCATCATCTTAATGGTGATAATCTGAGTTGATGTTTGAGCTCTTAACTCGTCAATGACCGTCTAAAAATGACTTTTTAAAAAGGAAATTTGGTGCTTTAGTGCCAACACATCCGGTCGTATTCGAACCTAGACTTAGCTGCTTTTTGCTGAGGTTTATTCCATATTTTTACTACATTTAAGTTAATATTAGATGGTTTCCTTTACCCAACTAAAGTACAGATTCTAATTGATATTAGCCTTTTCATTTAACATTTACCTACTGATGTTTGAGCTCTACACTCGTCAATGACGTCTAAAAATGAGACTTTTTATAATGAAATGTGGGGCTTTTCACTTATTTTCAGCAACATATTTTGGCCATTTTTGTAATCTTAGTTATTGGAGTTTTTGTAATGTATACATTTATACACACTTCCTGTCCTGTCCGGTGTCATTAAGTCAGCTTCACCCTACTTAAATCACTCTTTATCCGACATATTCCAGACGTTTTAGGCAAGGTTGGTCCATTAATTTATTCCATTGTTTATTCAGACTTGTACAGGAGTTAATTTGAGTTTTCTCAGAAATAAATGAAAGATATCTCATTATTTTTGCCACTCGGTCATTACGTGTTTGTTGACTTTTGGCATTTCACCTCAGTCTGCTGCCATGTGTGTGTTTTGTGTTTTTTTTTGGCACTGATATGGGCAGTTTGAGGGGATGAATGATGGGACCGGGGCATATGGAGGGTTGGTACACACACACACACAGTTGGCAGTGCCACCGAGTCTCCACAGAGTGATCCATCATTCAAACAAACACTGACACCAACCTCGCTGCCAGGGTGTCAATAAAAACACACATGTTGTTCAGAGAAAGATAATGGAGGACTCATCTGGACCGAGGCGGGGGAGCACACACACACACACACACACACACACACACCGAGCACATGTACTGGTTGTTTTTTTGGACAAATTCAATATCTTCCAGACACAGAATCGAGTCGTACAAAAATGATGAAAGCAATGAAGGAAAACCAAGAAGCATGTGGACCAACGCTACCTCAGATTCAAGTTGTGAAAACAGAGCACACACACACACACTTAAACATATCAGTGTTTGCACTCACCTCTGTCAAACTCATCTGGAATCTGCAGGAGAGATGAAAACAGAGATTAAATGTGTGTACAAACAGCAGGAGGAATGTCAATCAATCAATCAATCAATCAATACATAATCAGTGTTTTGTGTAGAAAGTAAAGGAGAGGATCAATCAGTCTGTGATGTGACGACTCAGGGTGTGTGTGTGTGTGTGTGAGGAGAAAACAAAGTATTGACGGATAAACAGACATGTGGCACACTTATACAACGGAGGACTGATAGGTCACATCTAGGAGGAATAGGAGGAAGGGGGGAGGAATAGGAGGAAGGGGGGAGGAATAGGAGGAAGGGGGGAGGAATAGGAGGAAGGGGGGAGGAATAGGAGGAAGGGGGGAGGAATAGGAGGAAGGGGGGAGGAAACATGAATGAAGGATCTAGGGAGAGTAAAGCGAGGAAGAAGATGCAGGAGCTGAGGAGAGGGAGATGAAGCTCAAAGTGCAGGGTGTGGCGCCCCCTGGTGGCTAAAACATGCATTTTAATTTACCAGACAGACCGAATATATAATAATTTCTGCAGAGACTAAAAGTTATAAAAACATGATGAATAAATCCAAACAACAAACTGAGATACTTATTCATTATTAGAGTTTACAATATGTTATTACGTTGTACAGTACGTCTGTTATTTTCAACTGGCTTTGCACCCGTAAGTGATGAGCACTATTTTATTCCATTTGAAGTCATCTCTTTGGACTTTGAGATGTTGACATGTTCCGGGCCGCATCTTTTTGTTGTATGCATGATCATTTTGATATTGGTAGATTGCAAAGTCGTATATTTTTACAGTTAAATTAGGAACGTCACATTACCAATGGATCAAAACCAGTGACATTTCTACAATTCTCAATACCAATTTCATACCACGCTTAAAACAACAACAAATCCCTTCGTAGTTCAACATATTACAATAAAGCCTTGATTTAATAGATACTCTTCCTTATCGACATATAAACACAATGGTATCAAACTGCAGGCCTTTGATTGGTGCGATAATTAGCAAACATTTTGATGCACAAATGCACATTTCTGCAGTGAGGTCCCAATACGATAAATCAAAACCAGTGATATTTCTAAAGTACTCAATATGATACGATCAATTTCATACCACGGTGGATAAAACTAAAGAAATACCTTTGTACAACAACATAAACAACACAATTAAACCTTTGATTTGATAGATAATAACCCTCATCAACAAAGGCTTTTGGAAACAGAACATCAAGTTGGAGATTGAACAAATATAAGAATCTCATTAACTTTTTCCTGAGAAGTGTGTACATTGCACAAATGCACATTTTTGCACTTAAAGTGGACCTATCATGCTATATTTGAATAATATAGTGTAGGACCATACCTATATAAGGCATATTTATACTTTTTTTTTTTCAAAATACCAAACAGATCATGCATTTTAGCCATGTCTCATTTCGCTCAATTTGAAAATGTATAGCTCTGTTTTAGCAAGGGCAGATTCAGTGAGAACAGCACCATCTAATGGCCGTGGCTGTCTCCTCCTGATTGGTGGAGTTGGCCCAATAGCCGTAGCGCCACCGTCCTGACGTCAGGACAGTGTTCAAATCTGGATCAGTTTTTATCAGATCCGTTGCAGCCCCCTTTTTTAGAGATTTGGGTATGGAGGAAAATAGAGAGGGTTGTGTTTTCTGACACTTGGTGAGTTCCCTGGAACACCGGGGACACATATTCATGTAGAAAAGACGTACAAAAGTGCATTTTGCATGATAGGTCCCCTTTAAATCAGTGACGTCCGAATACCCTAAATCAAAACCAGTGATATTTCTAAGCTACTCAATATGATACGACCAATTTCATACCACGGTAGATAAACAAAACAACAAATCCTTTTGTAGTTCAACATATCACAATAAAGCCTTTGATTTGATAGATAATAACCCTTATCAAGATATAACCACAATGGTTAAAGAACGAATGGAACAGGGTATATGCAGGAATCCTGAAGTCAAGACCTTTTAAGACCTTTTTTAAGACCCTTTCCATACATTTTAAGACCTCATCGCCACTTTGTGTTTTAACCGGTTACCTTGGCGACACACTTTACCTCACATTGACTACATACAGTATTGATTGTCCTTCCTCCTTATCTTCCAACCATTTGGACGCTAACTTGCATTTCCCCATAACGATGTTTAACAACCGGCGTAAATGGACCGTCGCGCGCTATCAAGCAGAGCGCGCGATGTCCTGTTCAGATGACGTCAAATCCAACGGGATGCCATAAATAAACTACACAGAATCACACTACACACCTACGCAATGATTACATTCAGGCACACTGTAGAATACAACCTCAACCTCTGCCAACACATCAATTAGGTCATAAGTCCAAACAGTGTGAGCGGCACTACTTCATATATATATATATATAAAAGCTCCAAGATAAATTAACCGGATATATTGGCATCTCTGCAGTATGGAACGCAGATCTAATCTAATTATACGCAGACTATTGATTGGAAGAGAATATGGAATAATATCTCCTTAACGTCGCGTAACCACAATCACCAATTGATACAGTATACAATGATACACAGATATTACCTGTCAACCAGAAAATGCTGTCAATTAAGGATGATGCCAAGCCCCATATGCCTTCTCTGTAACCAACAGACTATTGGCACATATGTACACATGGTTTATGAATGTACTGCAGTAAGAACGTTCTGGAAACAAGTCATTGACATTGAATCTGAGATTATTGGAGTTCACATACCCTGTCTCCCAAATATTGTATTGTTGAATGATGATTCTTCTCTTGACCTACAGAAACATCAGAAAAGGGTGCTTTTCGCTGGTCTAACGGCAGCCAAGAAAATAATTGTAATACGATGGAAACCCCCACATACTTTATTCATTAAAGTGGACCTATCATGCTATATTTGAATAATATAGTGTAGGACCATACCTATATAAGGCATATTTATACTTTTCTTTTTTCAAAATACCAAACAGATCATGCATTTTAGCCATGCCTCATTTTGCTCAATTTGACCATTTCTAGCTCTGGGCAGATTCAGTGAGAACAGCACCACCTACTGGCCTGGCATATGTACTACAGCGTCTCCAGCGCTTTCAAACGGCAATGGCCGTGGCTGTCTCCTCCTGATTGGTGGAGTTGGCCCAATAGCCGTAGCGCCACCGTCCTGACGTCAGGACAGTGTTCAAATCTGGATCAGTTTTTATCAGATCCGTTGCAGCCCCTTTTTTAGAGATTTGGGTATGGAGGAAAATAGAGAGGGTTGTGTTTTCTGACACTTGGTGAGTTCCCTGGAACACCGGGGACACATATTCATGTAGAAAAGACGTACCAAAGTGCATTTTGCATGATAGGTCCCCTTTAAGCAATGGATATCATCCTTCCATGACCTACTAATCTCAGAGCTGTCAATCGCTTCTGCTAATAAGGCTAAGGGGGAAACATTAGGGGCGATTCAAAGAGCTGCTGATCTGGTAATAAATTATGATTGTACATATGGTTGCACACTTTGGTGCATTAGGAGTCAATCTCAATTCAGCTTAAACAGATGAAATGTTATGAGGAAAAAAAAGGTATGAATGTATTTTATGTGGATAAATTGTTATGCTATAATATAAATAATATATATAATATAATAGATAGACGAACTCAGACGATTGCTAACAAACATCAGGTAGGATTTTCTGTGAAATGGCAAGATGGGTGGGAAGGGGGAGGGACGGGGTGGCATGGGAAAGGGATTCCATATATATATATTTTTTTGCATTTCTTTCTTTGTCTATATAATTTGTATCTGTGTATATATGTCCCCTTGTGAGGGCAAACAAACAAAAAAACAATAAAAAGTTGGTCACAAAAAAAAGAATACAACCTCTTTGGACAATTTATATACTCTGAAAACAAGCTACAAAATGTAACACCTTGGAAAATGCCATTTAATACTTTTAATAGCCTTAATTTTCAACTTTGAATACTTTAAGACCCCGCGGACACCCTGTGTAAGAATCCAATTAACTTTTTTCTGAGTAGTGTGTAGATTGCACAAATGCACATTTTAGTGCAACAAATACCTTTGAAGTTCAACATAAACATCACAACTAAATCTGTGATTTGATTTAGAATAACCCTCATCAACAAAGGCTTTTCATCTGTAAATAATGTTGTGTTTTATATATTTTAAGTGTGTTGTTTTCATGGTTTTCTCACTCTGTAAAGTGTCTTTGAGTTTCTAGAAAAGTGCATTATTATTATTATTATATAAACACAATGGTATATGAACGAATAAAACAACCTAATTAACTTTTTTCTGAGAAGTGTGTCCTAGTTTCCCGTCCTCTCACTTCAGCGCCTCGTTAAAAAAAGATGTTTAAATTAGCTGAGAAGGAGTGTGTCCTTTGGAAGAGTTTTCTCCCACAGTTTCCCCCTGACAGTGGAGCATGTGCCCGATCATTGGGGGGTGTTTTGGGGGGAGTTTTAGGGGGAGTGTGCCTCTGGGCTTTGAAGTCGGCCTGTTGGATGGAAACAGCCTCACGGTTTATAATGTGTGAGAGCGGGAGAAAAAGAGAGACTTCTTTTACAATATCTGCATCCCGGAGGAGAGGAAGAGCTCCGGTTCCCACGACCACAAAACGCCACGAGAAGAATACAAATAAAGATCATTAACTGAGACACTTTATCCCGGACTTAAACGCCAGCAGAAACAGGGTGGTTTATATATTGATGACATTGCAGAGAATAAAAGTCAATTTGAATGCTAACACGTTTAAAAACATCTCCTTCGACTTTGAGAAACTGGGATGGACATTTTCCATATTTTTGGGCATTTACAGACGAACAAAGCCTCTTGACCGTGAGAAAAACACACTTTATAAATAGTAATGTAGGCACTTTATGACCAAAGCAGACACTCGACAACATGCTTGAAACCCCACACACACACACTCAAACACAAACACACACTTCCTCACACACTCTAAAGTGTTGTGTTTGAACTGCAGTTCCCAGACAGCAGCGGCACACGCCACATGTCAGCTTCCTGTTTAACAAATGTCAAAGAGACTAAAGGTGAGAGAAGTGTGTGTAGGAGTGTGTCGTCTGGGACAGGTGAGATAAGTGTGTGTGTGTGTGAGCTCTTTTGAAGAAGGCTATCCTCTCAGATTGTAAGGAAGTGAACGCAGCGAGACGAAAGAGGGTCCATCTTTCCCACAGAAACACCTCGTTACACATCAGGTGTTATTGCATCAGTATTGACGTGATGATTCAAGGGACAAAATATATATGTATGTATTGCACTTTTGTATTTAAATAAATAGAGCACTGCGTCCTGCTAAATAAACCTTTAAATCAAAAGCCTGCAATAGACCATTATTCAAG